AATGCCCACCACAGCGTCCCCGCTTCCCCCACCTGTGGCCGCTGCCCACCCAGCCCTGAGCTCCAAGTTCAGACCTCGTCCAGGCTCCGGAAAAGAGATGAGAACAAGGAACGTCTCTACATGAGATGCCCGGGGGCTGGGCCTGGGTGCTCCACGCTCGGTCCCGTGCGGGAGGTGACTAACCAGGGAGCGTGTCGGCAGGAACACAGTGGCTCCACCTTCTTTTCTCCCAGCAGATGCCTGGCGGGTGCTTTCCGGTGCCGCGGATCCCGTGTTACCGGCAGGTGCACGTGCTTGCCGCCCGCCCTCGCCGCTGCCAGCCTGGCTGGCATCCTGCCCCCCCTTACACAAATGTCGTGCACTGGGCCTCTAGTTTAAAATAAAAAGAAGAACTCTAGCCAGTTTGGCTCAGTGGCTAGAGCGCTGGCCTGCAGACTGAAGGGTTCTGGGTTAGATTCCCGGTCAAGGGCACACGCCCAGGGTGTGGGCTCGATCCCCAGTAGGGGGCGTGCAGGAGGCAGCCGGTCCATGATTCGCTCTCATCATTGATGTTTCTCTCTCCCTCTCCCTTCCTCTCTGAGATCAGTTTTGATTGTGAATGTTAAAGACGTTAAAACAGTTAAAAGTATCAATGCCAGCCCCTGTGACCGGCCGTCCGGGTTCCCTGCAGCGTGTGTGGCTGACCAGCTCTCGGGAGGGGACGGGGCGCGCTCACCCCGAGTCAGTGTCGGCCTTCGGGGTCCTGGCCAGCAAACCCTTCGAAAACAAAGCGCGGCTTTATGTGTCGGGTGAGCGTGAGCCTGAGTGAGATTTCCACTCCCCGAACGTTCACCCTGAGATGACGCAGCGTCGCTCGCGCCTGACTGCTCCCCGGGAAGGAAGTGACCGTTTTGGGCACTAAACCTCTCGTCCGCTTTCCCAGCCCGAGCCCTGGGCCAAATCAGATCCACGAGGCAGAAACCCGCGGGCTGCCAGCTGGTGTGGGGAGGACGTGGACCAGGGCCCGGTGGGCCAGCGACAAGCCCAGTCAACTCAGCCCTGTCCTCCCCGAAACTGGGGACCCAGAGTGGGGCCCCCGCGTGGGGGGCGTTTGGCGAGGACGGGACTGGGCTGAGGGCCTAGGACTGCGCAGATGCTGTCCTGTCGCTAATTGAAACCAGACTCCCCCAG